ATAATTTAGGGGATTCACTCCCGCATTTAAATGCAGTTGTCACTCCTGAAACTTACAGTGTGTACGTGGCCTATATGAATGCGCTGCCTACTTGTGGCTGCTAAAGGAGCACAATAATCGCAGTTGTCTGAATTGACCGCGGTTAGATGAAATAACCGCAATCAGGCGGTTATTTAATAATCGCGACAGGCCTAGTTTTAATATGCCTCTGGTCATAGAGCTTTTGGATAAATGCAGAGGCTTTTTTGGTTGGGAGAATCTGCCATATCTGACCCAGTTCATTTGCTGGCTTCCATGGCTGTAATCAGCTGTGTTTTCTGGCAACTGGCAACCCAGGCTGTTGAAATACAATTGGGTAAATTGGCAGTGTGTGGAATCACACAGACCAAAACAAAAATGGATTTTCCAACACGGAACACAAACATTGCAAAGTAGAACATCTGGCAGTAGCATTGTTTTTCGGAGAAACGAATATATGAACTTAATATGTTTGCAGATATTTAGGAAACATGCTATGGTATTTTATGCTTTAGTGCAGTCCAAAAAATTCATACGGCACCATAAATGTCTAAATGTTTTAATGTCTTTTGCTGTTGGTCAGTAAACTGGGGATAACTTGTATTTTTCTCTTTTCTCCTTAGACCCTATGTCACTAAAGAAGGAGAGTGAAGTCCTAAATGAAATGGAAGAGAAATATCAGAATGAGAAACATGGAGAAAAATCTTTTAGTTGCACAAAGACTGAAAAGACTTCCTCACAAAACCGAACTCAAAAGTCAGGAACTAGTTATTTCAACTGCTTTCAGTGCGGAAAGAGTTTCAGTCAGCACGAAAACCTTAAAGCCCACATGAGAATTCACAATGGTGAGAGCCCTTTCGCCTGCCAGCAGTGTGGAAAAAGTTTTACTGAAAATGGAAGCCTTAAAAGGCACATGAGAATCCACACTGGTGAGAAGCCTTTCAGCTGCCAAGAATGTGGAAAAAGTTTCACTCAAAAAGGAACCCTGAAAAGGCACATGAGAATCCATACCGGAGAGAAGCCTTACTCCTGCAAACTGTGTGGAAAAAGCTTTAAAGCAGAACTAAATATCAAGTATCACATGAAAATTCACACTGGAGAGAAGCCTTTCATGTGCCATCAGTGTGGAAAAAGTTTTAGACATAATGTAAGCCTCAAGACTCACATGAAAATTCACACTGGAGAGAAACCTTTCACGTGCCATCAGTGTGGAAAGTGTTTCAGACATAATATAAGCCTCAACACTCACATGCGAATTCACACGGGAGAGAAGCCGTTCACATGTGATCAGTGTGGAAAGAGTTTCAGATGTAAAGTAACCCTTAATTGCCACATGAAGATTCATTCAAGAGAGAACTGTTTTATATGTCAACAGTGTGGAATGAGTTTTACAGATCTAGAGCGTCTAAACAGCCATGAAATAATTCACTCGGGAGAGAATCCTTTCAAATGTCATCAGTGTGAAAGGATTTTCCAATTCAAAAAATCCCTTAAGGCTCACATGAGAATTCACACCGGAGAGAAGCCGTACACATGCCCTCAGTGTGGAAGGTGCTTTACATATAAAGCAACACTTGATTCCCACATGAGGAGTCACACTGGAGAGAGCCCTTACACCTGCAAACTGTGTGACAAAAGCTTCTCACACAATGGAAATCTAAAGACTCACATGCGAATTCACACTGGAGAGAAGCCATTTATATGTGTTGAGTGTGGAAAGAGTTTCACACGTAAAGAAAGCCTTAATTACCACATGAGGACTCACTCGAGAGAGATCTGCTTTGTGTGTCATCAGTGTGGAAAGAGTTTTCCAGACCAGAAACGCCTTAAGAGGCATGTCATAATTCACGCTGGTGAAAACACTTTGATGTGCCATCACTGTGGAAAGAGTTTCACACATAAAGGAAACCTAAAGACTCACTTGAGAATTCACACTGGAGAGAAACCTTTCATGTGCCATCAGTGTGGGAAAAGTTTCAGTCATAAAGTGAGCCTCAAGACTCACATGAGGATTCACACTGGAGAGAAACCTTTCACGTGCCATCAGTGTGGAAAGAGTTTCAGGCATAATGTGAGCTTTAAGACTCACATGAAGATTCACACCGGAGAGAAGCCTTTCACATGCCATCACTGTGGAAAGTGTTTCATGTTTAAAGGAAACCTCAAGACTCACATGAGAGGTCATGCTGGAGAGAGGAGTTTTACATGTCAAAGAGACCTCAAAC